TGTGCTATGCATGTACAGCAATGTGATGCAACAACATCAGGAGACGGCGGGGTGAGAGGACTATTGACCTGGAAATTGTGAATAAGTCCATCCAAAGACTTTTGAAAGATACATATTTTTTCAAATTCTAGTATGTGTTTGTTCTGCCCCAAGAAGAGAGGAAGCAGATGGACGCATGTTTCTTCTAATTAACTGCCTGCTTTTTCACACACACCCTCCACTCCCTAAGGAAGAAGACCTTTCTATAGGAGTTGTATTAAAAAACCTTGTAGGTGGGTTCCTCGCTCTCTGTCAAACATCTGGCAGCCTTTGAAAATCCTCAACTCAGAATCAGTTTTGACACCTGCTTCCTCTTCAGGCAAATCATAGAATCACAGAACGGTTTGGGTTGGAAGGGACCTCAAAGATCATCTAGTTCCAACCCCCCTGCCATGGGCAGGGAAACCCTCCACTACAGCAGGTTGCCCAAAGCCTCATCCAACCTGGCCTTAAACACTTCCAGGGATGAGGCATCTACAACTTCTTTGGGCAAATACTTTCCTTACTGTCATACTAGACAAGAAGTAGCCTTCCCATAAGTCAGGCTAAAGGAGAAAGGAAGGACATATGTGATTTCATTTACCAGATCCTTCAGAACAGGGGACACAAACTGTCTTTTCTCCAGAATCTGGAGTTCATTGAGATTACCAAGATTTTCTTCCAAATGAGTATGATCATTCCCAATTCTCTGTTTATAACCCAGCTCCCTCCCAAACCAGTACACAAATAATTGATTCAACTGCCTTGGAAGTCTAGGAGCCCAAATCCTTTTCGAGGTTGCAGCAGAAACTGTGGCTGTGGAAATGCCGAGTAACTACACCACGGCCTCCGAGAGCCGAGAAGGACGGCTGCGGGCATGAGCGGCTTTAGGCACTGCCTGGTTCACAGCCTGAATAACCAAGCTGCAATCCTTTCTAAGATCAGCGAGATGTTTTCTGGGCAACTTAGCTGTTTTGCAGAAACTGTTTTTTTTTTCAGATTGTAGAGTTATTAGGGACAACATTTTTAGGAGTGATGATCTCCGCTCTTTTCTGTCAGTTGTTTGATTAGTCATCCCTGGCAGCTGCTCCCATGAAATGTGAAAAGGCACCATTACATAAAATCTTGCACGAGCAAACTAGCTGGTAATGAAGAGCAGCGACCATTACTGCATCCTCAATATTGTTTTTACACTGGTAAATCATCAGCTTCACTAGAGCTGCTCATGAGTTGCTTGAGGACAAAAAAGCTTATTTTTTTCAAGAGAAGCACAGCAGATTTCTTTCTCTTTTTTTTTTTTACATTCAAGATGCTGCACTTTAAATATATTTATCACATCAAATTAAAAAGGCTTCCAAGGAAAAGTCTACCATTGACTAAATTTACAGTTTTCCCATATGGACATTTTAGGGACATTTTAGGTAAAATGGAAAGAAATGTCAATGAGATGTGTGTCTGTAGGAGGGAACATTAGCTGTCAGTTGCCCAAAAATAAAGTCTTCTATGTCTTCAACAGAAAACATTTTTTTTTTTACTTTCAAAACGGAACCGAAACATTTTGGCAAAGATTTTCATTTCAGCTTTTTGAAAGGCACACACATGAGCTTTTCAAGGACAGCATAAAACCACTTTGAGCAAGGGTTTAAATACCCATTTTGAGCGTATTGTTTAAAACGGGCTATGAATTCACAGCCATTAACTGAAACATGTTCCTCTTAAATGAAACTTCCTGTGTACACAATCCAGTCATACCTCTGGGACAAGATATACGCTCAGTAATTAATCACAACATTACTCAGCCTTTTAGGTGTTTACCACCATCCTTCAGGCAAGAAAGCCCCGAGCTAGTGAGATAAGCATCATAAAGGAGCAGAAGAACAGAGAACAGGCAGCAGCCTGCAGAGGAACCGAATGCATTTCCTTAAGATGTTTCACTGCCTTTATGTCCGTAGTTGAAAAAAAAAAACACCCAGAAAGATTCTGTTGAAATCCATGACGAGAACAAATACTCTCTGCTGTGTTGACATCTGCCTCAGATTTAACCGTGTACACAAAATATTTTCTCTCTGTGCATTCGAGCAGGAAGAGAGAACACAGGATTAATTTTTCAGTGTATCGTATGAGGGCTTAGATACGTAGATCACCCTGACTTCAGATCAAATACACCGAGAAGCACTTGCTCCTCTATAATGTCTACTGACATGTCCTAGGTGCATTTAGGACGCGTAGCGCCAGTCCTATTTCCCAGGAACATATGCTATAGCTAAGCCAGCACTCAGCGGCAGCTTCTGCTGCTGTCCACTCTCACATAAATCCCAGACCACTCTGAGGTAGAATGAGCAGAATTCAGCTCTGTTTTTCAGTGGGCTATAATGGGCCTGTCTCTCCTCTCATGCTGCTGCAAGTCACACATTACTTCATTTAAGACATTGTACAACTTAATTTCACATTAGTGTGAAGAGCTGATGGAAGCTCCTTCCCTACTCTACTCAAACAGATGCAATTGATGGAGAGGAGATGCCAATCCAGCCCATCGCTGCTGAGATCTATATAGGAACATCAGCCTAAGAGGAGCCTGAAGTCACAAATCACAGTTCTTGTAACTTCAGACTCCTACAAGGAACAGTGTATAACACTCTGGTTTTGCTTATACTCCAATAAATGTAGAATGAGACAAGTGTGGCCAGTGTGGGTTTGTAATTACATGAAGATCAGCTTTTTGATGAGCAATTTGCTTAAACCAAACTCCATATTTTGAACACTCTCCTTCCTTGGGGAATATGAGGTTGTGCATCCAGACTCTGGTTTTGCAGTAGAGGTTCATCTCTAGACATTCGCAAAGCATAAAATCAGTTTTAAAACTGATGGTGTTGCATGTAAACAATGGAAACTGGAGAGCCTATCTAGCTGTTCAGCAGACTTTCTAACCCAGTCTGCCACTGGGCTAACACTGGACCTCTTACGCTTCCTCACTGCAACACCAGTTTTCTATATGTTGACAATGTAGCAGTGTAGTTTTGGTATCCAGAGCCCTGCATCAATTGTACCTGGTGTTTGTAATCCTGGGGCAGGGAGAGATAAAGTTTGGCTGGAAAGCAGGCAAAATTGCACTTGAGACGGGGCCGAGCTGCAGTACCGGAGCTGCTGGTGCTGTGCTCTCTGGGTTCTGACCTTCATTTCAAAGCCTTATCGTTGCATAAACCAGCTGTGTTCTGGCAGTTTTGGGGTGTAGCTTGCCTTAAGCTAATAAGGGCTTTCAGATAACATTGCTTAAAGACTTCAGTCAACATCGTATCAGGGTGGATAAATAGAATTAAGAATAAATATTCTTAATTCAAAATGCAATCAGTTGATCTGCAGAGTAGAGCAAATTATACTTTTTGCCTGGGGACCTGCAGCTTCCCTAAAGGCAGGGAACTTTGACCAGAAGGAAATTTTGATACTAGTCAAGTGTGAATGGCGTTTTACAGGAGATTGTGGAGCTTTTTCCTACAAGCATTTTCCAGCTATTCTCATTAAAAAACATCCTGTCAGTCCAACTTCAATAAATACATTTATACACTTGTTAATTCTGGAATACTGCCAGTAGGAACGATGTTAGATCTATTTGGGTCCCAACCTGGAACTCTACATGGTTACCTCTCACCAGTTTAAAAAAATGACTGAGTATGCTGGAACTGTTCACTTTCCCTAGACAATGGAGTTTGTGCATGTAGACACTGGGGAACACACTGCCTATCCCAAATACTATCACTTTTACACAACGCTATCATTAACATCTGAGAAAAATAATTAACATTCCATAGTTCTCCATATTAGCTTTGTTCTTTCAGATCTTGGTTTCACAGCAGAACTAGACTGGACAGAGAGCATGTGCTCCTGGAGAACTGTTATATTTACCCTAGAGCAGATGAGATACTGCAGCTCCTCCAGAGACTCAAGGCCCAAGCCCCAGACTACCAACCAGGCTCCTCAATGAACACAGTTCTACCTCTCCTTTCAGTCCACAGACAACAGGTTTGGGTCTATAAGCTTCTGAGGCCAATTCTACTCCCACAGTGCTGTTAAGTACAATTGATGCTACTGAAGTCAGTGAGATCAGTCGATGTGAAACAGCACATTTTTATTTGGGAGGAAATGCTGCATTCCTTGGAGATGTTTACCCTTACTATGTCTATAATTCTGCAAAATTTTTTTTACTGTTTAGTAAAAGGGGAACTTCTTGATCCCAATAGGTGCCCCTCCAAGCACTGAGGCCAACAGCTATTCTTTACTTCCACCTATGGTATAAACTCAAAAAAACAGGATAGTCCCTGACACTGTCACTGACCCTGATTACTTAAACAAGGCAAACAGCATGGTTGCTCTAATTGCATGTGTGATGATTCTGCTGATGTTCTCGTACTGCATTTTTATTGCTTTCAAATTTACTGCCAACAGATCAGGTGCCTTATTTGCTCAGACCTGTGTCTTGTGGATTCATTTCAGTTCTCTGTTTGCTACCTTCTGTATTCGGAAAGCTCTGCAGCCATCCACTTCTTGCAATGACAGATCCATTCTTGTCACAATCTTTTACTGAGATGCTTATTAATAATATCATAAATTATCAGTGCTTCGATTAGTACCACTATTCATTGTGCATGACAGCATTTTTTCACAGAATTGCTATATGATTGTCAATGGTCTCACCTTTGTTTTCGCAAATGCATCAGTCTGTGGCTGGAGTATCCACAAAGAACTAGCTACTGTTCACTTACACAATTAAAAAATCCCATTTCTGAAAAGCTTGTCTTTTAAGAACCACTAGAAATATATATTCAATCGTCCCACATTTGCCTCTCTGCTTTCTCAGGAGAGGGGGCAAGAAAGGGGGTGACATTGCTTGCCTTAATCAGAAATCAACTACATTCCAATTATGAGTACTAAACAAAGCAGCAGGAAGATCTCTTGTTATTAAACTAACAATTGACTCTTTATCACAGATCTATTATTATTCAGGAGGCCAGTCTTACTCCTACGGAGAGTTTAAGGACAGAATAACAGCTGCAACAGGTCCAGGGAACGCATCAATAACCATCTCCAACATGCAGCCCTCAGACACTGGCTCCTACACCTGTGAAGTTTTCAGCCCACAGGGTGACGATGGACAGAGTCAAAAATCAGTGATTGTCAACGTGCTGGGTAAGCGTCTTTCCTCTCTATTGCTGCATTGTCGTTTTCTTCCCTTATTACAAAACACTGAATTCACGGCTCAGAATACGTAGGACCAGAGGGAAGAAGAGAACTGTGATAAACAAGGCCCACGAGGCAGAGAAAGGGCTCACTGATGCGCTGGCACAGATTTTTGCCAAGGGCTTTGGAGGCAGGCAGAGCCGGGGGTGCCCTCCAGCTTCCAGACAAAGCAGACCGGACACCGCTCCGCAGCTACCCTTGCTCGATGGACAGTAAAATCTCTTTCTCCCATGAGCAGCCTTCAGGTTCACTGTGTGCTCTCAAAGAGCTCCCTAATGTAACCAGGTAAGCAGGTAGCTGGAATTACCCAACTTCACTACATTTTTCATGTTGGAAAACAAAGAGATACTAACTGCATTTAAAATAAAAAGCCCTTTTAGCTGCAAGTGACAAGTTCTCTCTGAAGCCATTACTTTTAGGATAATCCAGTCCCAGCAAAGACCAAAAGTTTATTAATTTTACCTAACGTTGGTCATGGTGACTCACGTAAATCTAGAGAGAGGCAGCAGTACAGCCCAAGGGTTCTGGCTCAACACTATTCCCAGAAACTCTAGAAACTTAGTATGTGTTGGATGGGAGTAGCACAAAGTCTGTTTTGGATGGAAGAAAGCAATAGTTCAACCATGAAAGGCAGGACAGAAAGGATGAAAAGCAGTGGAATGAGATATTTTACTTCCTAATAAGATGAAAGTTTGTACTAACCTCATCTAATCATTGCTTTTGTATTGAGAATTCATAGCTGGTCAGGTGCAAATCAAAGTCATATGAGAATGTGATTCCAACATCATTTGCCTATCTGCCTGGGATAAGAAAAAGACATATGTAAACTCAGTCCCTGAAAAATCAAAGTACTACTGCTAATTCTCATCTAAAATTCCACAAACAAATAGTAAATCTAGGAGCAGCTGAGCAAGAGATTGTACTTTTCACGTGAAAATTAAGGAAGATTAATGCACATAAAATTGGGCTGTGTTCATCACATACAGTACTCTAAAGAACCACAACAGCATATCTATAGGTAGGAAATGAGAAATAATAGGTGTAAATGAAGACAGAATCTTCTCCCGTGTGCAAAGTGAGGAATTGCTGTCGAAACAGATATATTTTTAACAGAACTGTAGTTGATTTATTTCCTCCACAACTGCAATATACTGAAGAATCAGGCCTTGGTCCTCTCTTTTTATGTGGAAAAGCTCCTGCTGTGTCCCTAAAGAAAATGATGCCACTATGTGGCAGAATGGTGTATGACGAATAGTGACTGGCCCATTATAATTAAAATAATCGTTAGTCTTCATCTCAACACCTCCATAATAATATTTCATATGCAAATGGAAGGAAATATAATAAAAATGTATCCTAGGCTATGTATATATATTTAATATCACTCAAATCTTTACGGGAGAGCTTTTGATCAGATTCATAAACAAGACTCTGCTCTCGAATGGAAATCTGTAGGATCTTTACCTACAACAGCCCAGTACCAGAACTCGAGGTGGATGCTTGCAGCCCTGGGTATGTACTCACCACGTGTCTGTTCTCCTCGTTGTTATTTTACAGTCAAACCGTCAAAACCTTTCTGCAAAATAGAAGGAACGCCTGAAAAGGGCCATCTAATCTACCTCTTATGCAAATGTGAAGAAGGACTGCCTCACCCCACCTACCACTGGTACAAAGTAGATGACAATACCCTCAAGCCCGTGACTGAACAACTTAGTACGTAACTACAGGACTACCATACCATGGTCAAGATCTGGAATTCCATAGCACCAGACATTTCAAACACTGTGTATCACATAGGGTAGTTAAAACTTATACTCCTGACGGTCAACGTCACAAAATCATAGTTTTATTTATTCAAATCGACTGATAGCTGTCACAAACAGGATGTTTTTTCTGTTTTAATAAAAGTTGTATAGCGTGGTAAAGTCTTGTCTATGCCACTGCTTTAAATTGTTAAAATGGGAGAAATGTTTATGTCTTTACATCTTCCTTCCCTTGGAATTCTGAGTGAACTTACACTCAGAGTAAGTTAAGTCAATTAGCCATTCAGGTGCTAAGACCTCCATCCTGAAAATCTTCAGTACCTTTTCCATTTTCACTTGTAAAGTTACACTAACAACAGCATCAATGCAGGGAAAACACCAGACAGATAAGACTGATTTGCTGAGTAGGGGCCTAACTTCTCATGTTCTAACGTACTCCTGCAGAATCCACTGTAGTCATTTTCAAGGAAGAGAAATGGGGGTTTTTATTTAAATAATATAAAAAGCCCCAAATGAATGAATAATCTGAGAACCCTGTTTCTGATATCTTAATAGCTTTCAGTATTACCAACTAGAGGAAACAGTTTGCCTCTCCAGTATACAAACAGTAATCTATACCTGCTCTCTGTTTGCCGCAGATACAAACACTGGCATTCTTTACATTGGCAATCTCACCACCTTCGAAACTGGGTATTACCGGTGCGTAGCCAGCAATGTCCTGGGGAACAGTACCTGTGAGCTTGACCTAACTGCAAAGCGTAAGTTTAATGTGTGTAATCACCTATTCCATGTATGACACACACAGTTTGCAGGAAAATGCTCTAACGACTTTAAAGCATGTATTTCTTTCAAGTAAGAACAGAACAGGCTTTGCAGAGCTCTGGCGTTTTCATCCAGACACATCCAGGATTTACACTGACCTAGACAACATCTCCAGCTTTGTTTCCCACTGGGAGCAGGAGCTGAACCTGGCTCTGACTGCAGAGTCTTTACTGAGAACTGACATAGAGTTTAGAGAAATTTCTTCCAGACAATAGTCCCACTGAGGTCCCCCTGCCCCAGAATTTACAACCATCACTGAAATGTGATAGCCCAAGGACTAGAGCATTGTAGATGTGACTACTAGCTAAAAATACTGCAGTCATGGAAAATCCTGACAGCCCTCAAGCAGTGATAAACCTTACCCTGACAGTTCTCAAGCAGTAGTCAACCACATCTGCATGCAGATTTTTCACATAACCAGTAACATTTAGCAAGAGCCAAGCGTATGTTGTACAACCAGACACGAGAAAGGTCCTCGAAGCGGTCACTCCATCACTCAGTGGTCTGAAAATCGCAGGTCAGAGCTAGAAGCTGTACTGAATTGGGAATAGAAGGTTTTAGGGGCTCACAAATGATCAGAGCATACATTTTATATCTCAGCTGAAAGACAGAGATAAAGGCAACCTGAGTTTCAGAATTTGTTTGCAGGGACTGAAGAACAAGGGCTTTCAGTCTAACATTTCCCTTAGCCAGGCATAAACATGGAGTTTGTTGAGGCAGGGAGCTAACCAACAAGAAAGGCGGCAGCAAAGGTCATAAAAGCACAGTTCTCTCTTTCCTAGAAAATGTTTGGCTTCCCTTCTGGAAATACAGCTGTCAGATAGTTTTTAATTCTTTGAATCCAAAGAAGAATTGGATTCTTTGAATCCAAAGAGCCTTCTTTCTGCTAAAGGCTCCTCCACTAAATTTCCATGGGATTTTGCTATAATAATATTTTTTAAAGTCAAGTAATCTTTTTTTCTTTCCAGATTCAGATGGTGCTATTGTTGCTGGAGCATTAATTGGAGCAATTCTGGCAGCTGTTATCATTTGCATTGTCGTCTGGGTCTTAACCAAGAAGGCAAAGAATAAGAAGTCATCGAGTAATGAGATGCAGTAAGAGTTTCTGTTTGTTTCACTTTAAGACAACTATTTCTGCAAAGCACTGCTGGTAATCCAGAACTAAAGCAAAATGTAATTACTCTAAACATTTTTGGAAGGGTAAATAATACAGGTTTTGAGAAAACTTCCAGAGTGAGAATATTTGCTTTTGTGTGACTTTTAAGCTCTTGTAACAGAGGTTGCTATTACTCCCTTCCCTATGTTTTCAGGCAGCTACCACTTAGCAGTACCTAAAATAGTAAATTCTTTCTAAACAACCCAAACTAGAAGTGGCAAGTTAGAAAAACAGTTTTCAATGTTTAAAAGTTGATGGTGACTGTTAATGGCAGATGCAGGAAGTAAAAAAAGGAATAGCAGCCAAGGGCTGCCTCAGCAAATTTACTGCGATTGTACGTTACTGGATGTAAACACAGAGAGCTGAGTTCAGTGCTATTTGAAATTCCAGGACACACGCTTGAGATGCTCTAAGGCATCTCCAAGGGCAGGAGACACAAGGCTTAGGCAACAGAATGGAGCCCAGAATGTCCATTTTAATCCTGCTCTGGAAGTTTTTGTTGCTCATTTTCCCCTTAAATTGCCAAATCTTCAGAAGAGGGATCATCTCGTATGCTATACAGACTGCATTTAGCCCCACGATGTTAAATGCTAAACGAATACATGCAGCTGAGGCCAAAAAAAATATCATGTCATCTGGACACTTCCCTGGAGCACAGGTCTAAGACTTCCTGAGATGGAATTCTGCTAATCCAGACCCATGGCCAGTCACTCTCGCACCTGATTTCTGCTTTCGATTGATGTAGTGTTAACACCTGAATTTGTGTTCGGAACCTAATAAATCTTACTACATGGAATTCATCCACTAGCATCTGATATTTTTTACATGTGAAAGTGCTTAAGTATAGGGAGTTGGTTTATTATTGGTTTGATAAGATAAATGGAATTCATACTACAAATATTTTTCTAGATTTCAGCTTTTTCATGGCTCTTTTCTGCCTGCACTCTGTTTTTTATGCACTTGAGTGGGACACTACATCTGCATGGAATTTCTCAGAAAGCTCACACCAAGGGGTGTGTTTTGCTACTCTTTCTCAGACACTGTTTGCCAAAACTCAGTTTCCCTTTCTGCTTTCCTGACCTAGCAATTTAAACATACTAAAATCCATTTTTTTTCTAATGGGCTCACTTAAACAAGGTGCTCTTGGAACTGTCGTAATAATATGCGGGTTACTGTTTAGACAACAAAACTACAATTCTTTTGAAAGACTCTAGTGTAGAAGGGGTTTCAACGTGTGAAATCACAATCCTCATCCTGTCTTCCTGCAGAGAAATGGCTCAAAAACAATCCAATGCAGAGTATGTTCAGGTACCTAATGAAGAAAACATTCCTGCGACCACAGTTCCATCAAGCAACGCGACAAACGAATACTCTAGTGTTGAAGAAACGGCAGCCTCTGGAACACCCGACAATGATGAGAAGCGAGAAGCAGAAAAAGAAGAAATAGCCTAGAGTTTTAATACAGTTTCCCTTGTCAGCTTTGGACCCCTTCCTACAAAAATTGTTGTCATTGAATTAACATAGAAGCGTGACTAAAACTTATAAGGGCATTTGTGTTGTGAACCACTGGGCTGGAGATTGAAAAGGGTCTGTTACAGACGCACTTTGTGAACAGCAGAAGGTTTGGCCTTTAACATTAACCAAATTTCATTTATTATCGAATTATAATAGTACATAAATACAAGCATAAAAAGACTACAATCCACATTTATTCAACCTATTTTGCAAAATTAGTTGGGAAATAGGCTGGACAAAGTAAGAGCTTTCCAGTCAACTAGCAGTAATGCTGTACGTATCCATATAGTTCTGAACTGCAGCAGCCTCCAGAAACAGTGCTGGCCAACCTCATGTTTCCTGTGCACCAAGAACAAGCATCATGGCCAACACATTGCAGTGTTTAAAGGATCTGATTTTGCAAGACAAAAAAAAAAGAAATTTTGTCAATGTCATTACAGTGTGGAAACAGATGGTAAGACTTAGACCAAGTGTCTGAATTCCACTTTAAGCTAAAAAAAAAGATCCTGGAAACTTTTACCTTGTTGCTACCTGATGTGGAATACGTTTTGTTAACAGTGGCCTTCTTGGCTTTAAAGTTGTCAAGGTACCAGTATTCCAGAGTTGGGTGTTTCAGCAGTTCTGTTTTCAGTTTAATGGAACTAGCATTCAGGTACCCACTTCAGACATGGATTGACTGGTTTCCAGACAACAGGAGCTGGAAATTTAAATCCCTTGCAAGGCTTGTTACAATAGGCACACAGAGTATCAGATTCTTCCTGAAATGCAGATACAGCTTGTTTCAAAACTTCGAAGTGAATACTGCTTACTATACAACACACCAGTTTTAACTGCTTCCTCTGCCTGAGATGATTTACATCTATTTCCAGGCAACTGCCCTACCCACTAAGCAACAAATTCATGCTGCTTTTCTTCAGCTCTCTTTACCCAGTGTAAATTTGACTATTTTCTCTAGATGACAGCATCAAGAGGAAAGGTAAGTAGTGCATCCACACCAACAGCCGAGCAATGAGCATTCTCTTGGAAGGAGAAAAGGGAACTGAACCATATACACTCTGACCACCAGACACCTCTTCTCTCTGGGCCTCGTTTCTAAGCTTAAGCACGCTCAGTTCTTCAAAAGGGCAAAGATACCTGCTTTCAGAAGAGCTCAAGGACCACGGGGCTCAGGTGAACACAGACACACAGCCCCACGCGTGAGGCAGATACTCACTGGCACAAGGAGACACTCATTTCAGTCCCGTGCACTGCAGAAAAATGTATCCGGCTGAGGGATCTGGCACTAAAGTCTTTTATAGGATCTAATGTTCATAAATCCTTTGGTGACTGTTCCTAGCCAGTAAACACTGGTTATATGCAACAGTCATCTTTAAAATAGATAAAAGGATACATCTGTGCTAAAACGTTCAGGTTCGGTTCCTACAGCTATAAGTATGTTTATCAAGAAAGTGACATATGCAAAAAAAAAAGTAAAAAAAAAAAGAAAAAAAAAAAGAAAAAATATGGCAACATTTAAAGAAGATGTAAGCCTTGAGGTCCTAATTAAGATTTAGTTTGGATCATTAAACATAACTATTCATTGCCCTTTCTACCCAGTTTTCTGGCTTTCAAACTTCTCTTTGATATGTGTGCCCTAGTGTTTAGCCTCATTACAGAGTAAAAGAGCATTTATGGTGTTCTTACAATATTGGTTTAGCTAAAAATTGCTTGTGCTGGACTGCAAGAGCCAAATCCTCACTAATACCAACACTGCCATATTCCACCAGTGGATCCTCACACTCCTCTCTCCCCACAACATCCATGGCAAACCTTAAGTCATGACCTGTATGAAAGTCTCTTCTTCATCAGGCATCTCTCTTATTGACTCTTGTCACAATTTTACTAAGCAAAACCTGCAAACTCACATCCTTCAATCCAGGTTTAGAAGCTTACGGAAAATTTCTGATACTCACACACAAAGCACACTCACCAACAGCAAGAGAAGAGTAAGGACCACCTACTCTTCTCTGGGTGCCATTTCTTACCAAAGGTGTTTCCTGAGGAGATAATTCAATTCAATTATTGGTCCGAGGGAGCCCACGAGTTGGCTGACAGTGGCATTAATTCAAAATAACTTTTTCGCTGACATTCCCAGGCATTCTTTTACGCTTGCCCTTCATGGGAAAATGTAAACAACTCTCTTCACGACACTGCTGTAGTTGTAATAGTTCTTCTAAAATCATATCCTGTATATATGTGCCTTAGTTAGGTTCTTACTGTTAACAGCTTTCCAACTTTCACATCTCTGCAACAGCACTATTGTGATTGAAGGGGGAAAAGATTACGTGATAATAATAATAATAATTTTCTAATCTTTCCTTTATCTCACCTCCACAAATTTCTCTGCATGTATTCCTTATATAACTTGCTACAGTAAGATAGGAGCCTATGCTGGTGAAGTTGTAATTACCTTCTGTAGTTAATAAAATCTTCCTAGAACACCACAGATCTTACATTTGCTAAGAAAGTAGAAAGTGCTCAAGTTATGCTAATGCTTTTATATAAAAAGAAATAACAATTGAACACAAGTTCTAGACTCATAATTCCTCCAATACTTCTAATCACCAGTGTGTAATAAGTAGTATTAAAAGAAAAAAAAAAGCAAAAATAAGCAAAACGGATTGCTGGGGTGAGGAGGGAGGTAAGGAAAATAACATTTATTTGGAGTTTAACACATTGAGATATTTTTGTAAGCCTTCTGGCAGATGTTTGTTCTCATTATGAATTTTCTCTCACATAAAAGAGTTTATTAAAAAGGACGGGGCACTCTTCCAAGCTTTCCAGTGATGCTCTTGGCAAAGCACAAGCCAAATTAGGTATTGATCCACGGTGTTAGCTCAAAAACCCTGCAGAGCTATGCAGGATGCAGAAACATTTTTCAGAATTTGCCGAAATTCTGAAAAATTTCAGATGTTCCGACAGTCATTGCTCCATGGCCCATTTAACTTCTCCTCAAGGAGCAGGGATCATTAATACGGAAACCAGGTATTAAGTCAACATTCAAGCCACCATCTCCTAGGGACTGCATCTACAAAGCTACAGAGCTGTGGCAGGGTTTTTTTGCTATACAAAGATCAAGGATGAACACAATTCTAAGTTCAGCTTTTCTCAATCCAAGTTCTCAGCAGTGCCTGCACAATATGCAAGAAACATTTACTCAGTCAGGTTCCTCCTCCAAGGAAGGTCTGCATGGCCAGAGCCTACTGTAGAGGCAAGTTATCCCTCCTGCTCTCAATAGGCACCCTCACTGAAATCTAACCTGCATTTTGCTTTCCTGGATAGACCTGAAGTACTTGGTGAAGACACTTGTTTGGTTCTAATTTTCTGTCTTGCCTATCAAAATAAATTGCATTACCTTAATCCCTACAAGCTAAACTGTAGAAACTTGCCATCTTCCATGTCAGCCTTTCCTTGCAGCTGAAGAACAAACATGTCCTATTTCCATACTGTGTAACGGATGGCCGGGTTTCGTCTGACTTCTTGTTCACATCCCAAGCGTACAAGCTATTTAGAAAATATTGGGTTTGTTACATATAAGTTTAATAAAGTTTTATAACACCAACAACTGCTGTTTAGGAAAGTTCTTTATTTCACAGAATTTCATCAGCATCATTTGTTCAGAAGGGGGAGATCGATTCTACTAGTGTCAAAAGTGATCTTACCAACATCAGAACAGAAGGTCACTTCTCAGACTCAGTCTCATTAGCTCTGCCTTCTAATAACTTAATACCAGGATTTGCTATGAGTAAATAGAGATTAAACCAGGCTTCTGTTATGAAATAACATGGTAAACTGCAAGTGTCAGTGCTGCATAATGGGAGTCAGACAGAACAGAAAAAGAAATCTACAGAAGGAGCAAGAGGAAAGAAAATTAGACTTGTATATCCCAGAGAAGTATCCAGAGCCATCCATTATGTAACAGTGTATTTGCAGAGGTAACCCTCAAACCACACCTGCATTCTGCAAGCAAGTCCAGTGCACTTCATCAAATACATATATTTAAAGATTCGAAGAAAGCAGGATAACAATAGATGACACAAGAAAAGCTTTAAACACTCAGAGCTCACTTGTATGGACTAAGAAGAGTAAAAATGAATACAATTATCTAAGTAACTGAGCAAACTACATTCTAAAACAAGAGAAGTGTAGTTTAGAATCATCTGAAGAAAAAGAATCACTACTCACAAAAAGCCAAACAAAAAACCACACACAAAGCACAAAGACTAAGGGAAAAAACAAAGACTCCAGAACAAGCTTCCAAAATAAAATTGACTTTAAATGGTTAAAGCATTTTTGGTCCTGTTACTTGAAAGAAAAAATTCTAAACTAGGTTCTGAAACAGAAGCAATGACTGCATTTATACAGATCATACTGTAAACTGAAAGAAAACTGCAAGATATTGAAAAACATTTTAAAAACAGTGAACTGTTTAATTAACAGGAAGTACAAACAGCTATTTTGGCACTGTATTTGAAGGAAAGCTAGAGATGCACGTTTATTACCACGCCGATGCCCACACATGATATCCTAGCTGAACCATCAAAACATGAAGCTTGCAGTCTTAAACACAAGTGCAACAGCAGAGAGAGTCAAGTCAGAAGTCCCTGCTAGCCTTCCACCATTCTTTTAAGTACGGCTCCCAGGCCCCCTTTTGCCACCTTCAGTGGGGTCAGTTCTTCTTTATTCTCAATGTGAATACTTGCACCATGAGACACCAGCAGCTTTGCCTCCTCCACTCTCTCTTCATCACAGGCTAAGTGACTGTAATAAGAACAAGAAACCCACAACCACTATTAAAAAGTCCAAGCTTATGAAGAGCAAAAATTATGCCTTGTCAAGTGACAGCATCAATGCTGGGGGGGAGATACATCCTAGAACAACGAAACCACCACACGCAA